TTTACACACACACATCTTTTAAGGAACTGTCCTTTCAGCACCACAAAATTAAGATGCATGCTAACAACTATTTTTTATCATCAGCCTCAAACACAGATAGTGAGTTCATTGAGTTTTGTATTCATTGATGTTTTATATTGCTCAAACATCATGTAATAAATATAATTAGTGGAATTTGAAAAGTGAAAAGTGAGATTCAGTTTTGTGCACATAATTGTGCTTGACAGGGTTTATTAACAGTCTGGACAAGACTGGATATTTATGGAAAAAGAAAATATTTGCATTTCTGGACTTCATTTCCTGTCTCATTTTCTAAACATTCCCTCTATCCCTCGATTTATCCACTTCCCTTTCATCCTTCCATCCTTCCATTCTTCTGTCCTTCTCTAACTTTCCCAGGTTTCAAAGTTACCCTGTTCATTGTAGAAATATGTTCCATAACCTCATTATCAACTTCTGTTTTTATATCTCTAAAATGCACTAAAAGAACTAAAAAGTCTTAAAAACTGAGTGGTAAAAGTTTTGAATTGTGACATAAAAATGTTCCACAGCTCAACAAACAATTTATATAAAATTGTTGCCCCCTGCCTCTGGATGTCATTAAGACAGATGGAGTTTGTTGTGTTTGTACTGAAAAAAAATATGGATAGAAAAAGTAAAACATTTATCTCAGAAAGGTATTGGTCATGTTTGTGAAGCAGACTGGCTGCCATTTGGCTGTTTGTTGTTCTTTAAAGAAAAAGAGAACATCTAACTTGAGTTTTGTTAGTTCACATTTATTTTGTATTTGTGTTGAAAAAACAAGCCAAGTAGGTGAGGGCCATTGACCTTTGACACCCAGCCGATGAGGGGTTGACCCCTGCCTACAATGATGATTACTGACCTCCATCAGTGCAGAGTTCCTCTAAAGCCACAGATTTATCATCAACATTAACCTGAAAGGATCGTTTTAATCCCACTTTCACTATCAGGACTATTTTAGATTACCTGGTCGTTTATATTGATAGTCAAATTTGATATTCAGATCATACTTTCATTTGTTTAATCCTTTATTAGACAATATAATACAAAAACAAAATGTTCTGCAATGTTTATTGTGTTTCTTTGCACTCAAACCTTCTGATGAACTTTTTACCTCAGATATTAAAAATTGTATTAAGTCAATATTACACATATGACCTTTGTGAAACAAAGCCATCAAACAACAGAGCACAGTAAGCCATCATAATGATTAGATTAAACTGACATCTGTAAACCAATAAAACGCCAAAATACGATCAGATCAATCTCTCAGTATCTGTGGATACATAACCAGGCTGCTGTTAATCAGTTCATAACCCATTAAACGCATCAGTTAGGCTCAGGCTGAATGTTTGACTGTTAAATTAAGATATTAAATTAAACAGCTCTATTCCTCTAATCTGATGTGACAGTCACTTTTATCTTTCACGCCAATCAAAAAAACAAGCGCTGTAATACTTTTGAAAAGCAGGCACTGTTTTAATCTTTTAATGTTGTTTTTCTATGAGTGTGGATGTACAAAGCAATAAATAAAATAGTCTGAAGTTTAATGTCTTAAAGTTGCAACTCAGAAACATTTTTGCTTGTTTGATTTGACCCGTGTGAAGCCAGAGAAGACAAAGTGTTAATACTGAGCCAACTAGGACGGTAGACACAGAACCGTTTTGGTGAGTAAGTGTGAAGTGGAGTGCAACAGAAATAACACCTTGTTATAACCAGTTTGACTCCTGTTGATGGCTCATTTCAACATCACACAGACGTTCTCGCTCTTCAGCTTTAACCATTCATCCTTCTGGAACTTTTACTATAGGTCTGAAATGAACATTTTAATTTAACTAACATATTTCTTCAGTTTTGGGGATGCCAATCTAAGTCTGTAGAGAATCAGTGAAGGGAGCTGTCCTAAAATTAGGGTTATAGTAAGGAGGCCTTCCAACCTATCTTATCACCAAATATAAATCTAAGTATCAGTGAAAACATGCAAAACTCTACTCAGCAATTATAAAATGACCTTGATTGCTCTAATATCAGTTTTAATAAAATTGCATTTTGAATAAACTAAATAAACACTGATGCATGTTGGTTTTATTCAAAACGTATCATCCTCTGACATTGTGTTGTGTTGTGAGAGATATCAGTCTCCTTCTCTGTACCATACAAACCCTTTGGTTAAATAAAAACAATTTTAATTTTAAATTTCCCAGGGTTTTGAATTACTCTAGACTCATCTATACAAGGCAAAAACAATAAACTGTAAACTGGATCATATAAATAGTTGATTCAGATATTTATACCTAGTTGATGTTGTATAAAAAGTTAAGAGCAATCAAGCACCCATCTACTGATCATTTCACAGAACAAAACGAAGATAAAACATGTAAAAATACATATTTTGGAAAAACATTCACATTTTATTTAATCAACTGAATATTTAAAAAGAAGAAAAGGAAGTGGAACAAATGAAAAGGAAAGGAAAAAAAATCAATGCTACATCTTTCTTTCTTTCTTTCTTACTTTGCAGTTAAGGATAATTTCAGCACTAAATCTGTCTTTTCCAATGGGCCCAGTAGGTGACCTGGATATTTTTAAGGAGCCAGTCTGAGTTCAGATTAGTTCGATTAACATTTTATTTTGGTTTGACAGTTTTATATATATATTTAAGGAGAGCTAGGAGAGCAGAGAACCAGCACTTAGTAACTTTGTATCAAAGCAGAAGGGACATTAAAACGTCTAACCTCTAGGAACCTATTTGGTTGCTTCACATGTTTCTTATTGGTATTGTGTTGAGTCAGTGTGGACTGGCTGATATGAACTCACACATGGTGTTTGTTGGCTCAGCTGCTCAGGGGTTATGTGTCTTCTGTGTGAAGTTGTAACCAGACAGTTAGCATCAAGTCTGGATTAGCCTGTCGCTATGGGATTAACCCACTCAGAGCCACTGATGAAATGCTCTTGATTCACATAAAATACACATTTTCTTGAGGTTTTTGTTGGCAGCACTTGTAAAAAAAAAAAAAAAAAAAAACAGGAATGTGTTTGCAGACACTTTCACCATGACAATTTGTTTCTTTACAACTTCACTATCCTGACAGAGACACCCACGTCCCGTATGTCTTTTAGTCTGATCGTAAAAGTTCTGACAACAAAGGGAGCGGTACAATAATTTGCATGTTGCTCTTATTGTATTCTTTAAAAGTTTTAATTATAGTTTAATTTGGTGGATTAGGTGTAAATTTGCATATAAACGTGTGTTTTCTTGTCTATACATATATGCCTCTCTTGTGTTTGTAGTTTTGTGGTTTTATGGTCGGGTGGGGAGACAAGTGGCTTTTGGCGGTGAAACACAGGCGGTTTAATGAGCCATCGCAATTAAGTTGTTACACTATGAGTCGGTACATTTTGTTGTTGCAGACTGATTTTATCATCTTTCATTTTTCTTCTTATGTGAGCAGAATTATAAAAAAATAGTCGTACAAGAAATCAGCTTTAGTTTCTTCGAATTCAAATGGTTTTGAATTGTTTTGAGGACAGAATGAACGTTGAACAGCGGTGGGTAGAGTACTCAAAAAGTGTTGACAAGTCAGGGTTAAAAGTAGCCATTTAAGAAATTACTTAAGAATAAAAAGGTATTTGGTAAAAAGGCTGCTCGAGTGCTGAGTAGCTGATCAAAACATTGGTCATTTAATATTTAACATAAGACAGAACAAAATATAAAGTTATGTGAATATTTTTTTAAAGACCAAAATGAAAATAATATGTAATGATATGTTTTTTTGTTTTGTTTTGTTTTTTAATGTATCTTCAAGAATCATTGACTTAAAACAAGCTTCCCCATGTCTTGCTGAAAAGTTACTTTTAAATAAGTAGGTTTAGGCTTATTTCAAATGTACTAAGATATTTGCACTGGAAACTGGACAAAAATACTTGGTAAGATTTTGTGTTTTTGCAGTGTAGAGTATCCAGAGATGTTACTGAAGAATAGTGACACTTCATAGTAAAAGTACATAGTACAAAGTGCAGCGTGAGTAAAAGTAGTCCTAAAAGTAAATGTGACTGAGTAAATATAACTCATTACTACCCAACTCTGCTGTGTTTACGGCACCCTGCTGCCACACGGCACTCGAGTCTGTCTGTAAAGCCGTAGACGATGGGCCGTCTGATTAGCTTCTTTCTGGAGTCTGCGAGCAGATTGAGAGGACAGCCGGTTGTCTCCATCACGTACATCCGAGGACACAGACACATTCAGATACCTTTAGAGCCGGTTGTTGTAACGCAGTCTCCACTCACAGCGAGATACCAGGCTGTCGTCTGCGGTCTCTAAACCCTCTCCGTTCTCATGGAGATAAGAAGTGCGTCTCATTGTTGGCAGACAACAGTCCTGTTATCATCTTATCAGAGTGCCAGTTCAAGCTGAAGGAGGCGGAGCTGAAGACTGTGTGTATTCATGTGTGTGTCTTTACAAGGGATGGGGGATGTTAGATTAGGAGGAGTTTCTTTGTCATGCAGCAGGTGCTGTTGTCACTTAATTTGTTCTAAACGTGTTTACATCAGTCTGTTGCAAACATGAACTAGTCTTCATTCTAGAGCAATTAAATAACAACAGAGCCAAATCTCTTCTTTGTTGCATCAATCAGTTCTCTGGCCAGAAATGCTCCTTGACACAAAATTTTTCACATCTCTCAAAAGCATTTGCCATGTTACAAGGCCTATTTCCCATGTTGTAGGTGAAATGATTTACCAATGGAACTAGTAGTTCTCCATTCACATTAACCAATTATTGATTTAAAACAAGCTCCTGCATCTTGCTGAAAAGTTACTTGTAAGTTTGATCTTATTTCAGAAGCCAGACTAAAAATACTTAGTAATATTTAGTGCTTTTGCAGTTTAATTTCCCTCCTTCCTTTTCTAGCTAAACTTGTATTTTCCTCGTAATCAAAAAATAACTGCCTTTTTTGTATGTCTTGTTTTTCCTGATTTAGAAAAAGAGAAGAAAGAAGTTTCCAGAGAGCCATCTGAGGCAGATGTGAAAGAGGAAGCAGGGGTTCCAGAGGAGACCCTCAAGGAGGTGAAAAAGGAGAAAAAGGAGTCATCAAAAGACAAAAAAGAGTCAAAGAAGGATTCCAGCAAAGAGCCCAAGGATGACACGAAGAAGAAAGAGTCATCTTCTTCCAAGGAAAAAAAAGAGAAGAAGGAGAAGGACAAAGAGAAAGAAGGAAAGGAGTCTGGGGACAAAAAAGTGTCCAGGAAGTCCTCTTTAAAAGTAAAAGAGAAGAAGAAAGACCCGGAAGCCGCAGAGGGCTGATGGAAGCAATGCAATATGTTACCTTTATATGCATTTAAAAATATAAAGTTCATCTTCCACACATATACTGTTTACATGTCAACATAAACAGGGTAATCTAACAGGAATATGTCCATTTATACGGTTTACATATGCATTTAATTGTAAATATTCTCTGTTAGGGTTACATTTGTCAGTGGCAAAACCATTTCCTCCCAGATGTTTTTACACAACCGCGCTGATCCGCTGCTCTTCTGCTGAATCCGCAACATATAGCCGTTCAGCGAGTGTGTTTTCCAACTGTGGTGAGCTCTGAGCCGACGAGGGGTGAGGATGAACGCAAACTCCTCCTCCTTCTCGTCGTTGTCTTCGTCTTGCCTCAGCAGCATTTGAACCCGCAGCACTAATTTCAGCCAGGGCCCCAAACCAGCTCACACCCACACACACTTCGAGGGTTCACCGGAGCCCTCGCCGCCTTTCCACCAGGAATAAAAATCGCCTGGCTCGTCCAGCCGCCTCACTGCTTCCGGGTAAATCAAGGCTACATCCCACAGCTGCCGCTGCTGCAGCCACCCCCGTCTGACCTTCACCGCTTTTTTAAGTTTGGTTCACTCAAGAAGGACGTGTGCTGGCGTATGGACACGTACTTATCCCCTTGGAGTTCCAACCTTTGCTCGTCTGTGGTTTAAACAGCTTCGTTAATGTCAGTTTAAAGAGAATAAAGAGAAGTAATAGGAGTGAAACGAGAAAACTAGACATTTTTTAGAAGCAAAAATTGCTGTGTTGTAAGTCCTGTGGAAAAAAAAAAAACTCAGATTAGTACAACAAAACATAAACACTTTTGCAGATATTATTTCATTTCAGGGCCAATTAGACCGATATAGTTTGAAAGTTTCCTTAAAGGATTCAAAGACTACATTTAAGAAACATCTTTCATAAAAGACAATTGTATCTTGTCTGTTTGGTGATGATTTTCACATTATTATGAAATTAAAACACATTCTAATTATGTCTGCATGTCCACACAACCTTGGATGCAAGTTTTAGAAAAACTACTTTTTTTCCCATTTTGATGCATGCTCACACACACATTTGTACATTTTTTGTCATCCAAGTGGATTTTAAGATTTTAAGAATTTTAGGTGCATTTCTGTTAGAATTAACATTTGAAGACTCCTGCCATTGTTGCTGTGCCAGCAGCTCTGCGTTACTCTCTAAGTCCACATTAAGCATGTCTGTGGGTCCAGTTTAAGCTGTTTTCTTGTCCGGGATACTTATTCTTATTTTTAGCTTGTATTGTGAAACAGATGGCTGTTTGAAATGTTGGTCTCAGCCTCTGTTGTTTGAGCAAAAACCTCATGCCCTCCTGTTTGAATATAGTTTCCCCTCCATTTTTAACATTTTTTTAATGTAGATATTTGATTATTTCACACATGTTTAAGTGTAAAAGTTGAAATAGCGCCATCTTGTCTTTGCCAAGAAAGACTGTTAGAAATCTTGGTGATTTTGTAAAGTATCCACTGGATACCATGCACTATAAGTTCCAGTTTCATATCAGTCTGGACGTGTGAAATGTTTGAAATGTGGAGCAGGTTTTGGTTCACATCCATCAGGCTCCTCCTTTGAGTCTGCTTTTATAGCCATTGTTTATCCCAGAAGACATTTCTGTAAAAACTTTGCTAACTGTGAAGCCTGTAGTTAAAGTCCCCAAACATGAGAATAAAATAAGCTTATTTATGATTATTTAGTAATAAAAGTGTCTTACTTTAGGCAGTTACTGCCTTCTAATTGTGGTTGTGATTGTGCAATATTCCTCCTTTTGTTCTGCTGGTGGGGAGTAAATTACCTTCATTGAATGTGGTAAGTTTTCATCTTTTGCCAGTTAAAATATCATCCACATTGAAGTACATCTTAAATATATATTAACTCTGAGCAGTCATTCCCCATGGCCTCCAGCTGCGCTGGTTCAAGAGTTGTAAGTATATTTTTGTCTGAATTTATTTCGTATGCTGGCGAAACAAGACGGGGTTATTTTATTGACTTGATAAATTATAGTTATCTTTTTAGCCTTCAACCTCATCTTCTGACATGTTTCATGATTCATTAAAGAAAAGTTTAGAATTTAAATTTCTGTCAAAAGTTCATTTTGGATCTGACCTTTTTACTGAAGCACATGTTCGATTTCCCAGTTTTCCATCGTCTCTCATAAGAAGCGGGAACTTTTTATTCAAGCAACTCTCCTGAGAATTTTTTTAACCATCACAGCCGTCATCAACCTGATGAACACGGCTGTCTGCAGACTTTTAATGTTACTTTTTTTTTTTCTTTTTGGCTATAAAAGCAGGATCAGCTACAGGTCGTAGGTGGTAAAAGGTGCTAAAACAAAGTCATTTCTGTTTAATTTGGAGGCCACCAACAGACTGTGCAGATGAAGTTACACTCCCATGATTTTAGTTTTTCTTTCTCTTTTTTGGTAAATGTTTTTATTTCTGTCTCAGCCCATATTATCTCACTATCAAACAAAACCCTTTCTTCACTGTGTTTAACGCTGCTAAATTTCTTCCATTTACATCCATCTCATACCCTGAAGTTCTGTTGTTTTTTCTTGTCTTTTTGTTCCTTTTGGATTTTCTGCTTTCTTTTCATCTTTCATCCTCAGTCCACTTCTTGTTTTGACAGTTTTTTAAACTTTAGATTTTCATTTCCTCCCGGCGACCTTAAAAATTGCTTTCTGATGACTTCTGTTATCTTCTTTCATCGTCTTTGTTAGCTTTATACATTTGCTTCCTTTCTTTCTGCACCACTCCATCCATCAACCTTCACAAAACTGCCATCTTTGTTTTGGTTTTTTTATACATATTTCAGCTCTCTTTAGATCTTTCTTCACTGACAGAAACTTATTCTTGGATGTGGAACTTTTTTAAAGGTCTGCCTAGTAAGACACAAATCTATACAAATCTGTCATCCTTCAAGCAGTTTTTCGGAAATCTTAGTTCATTAGCTGAACTGAAAGCTATTCAGTTCAACTAAAAGTTGTTCAAGCTTAAAGTGATTCAAAAACATCTGGTTTGCCTCAGAAATCTAGGCAAACCAGATTTAATTAAGTCACTTAAAGAACTCAAATGCATCAACTCCAATTTTGTGTAAATAATTTAATCAATTAAATTTATCTTAAAATCCACACATTTCTCTCAGACTGTCTCTTGAATGTTTTATGCAACAAAAACAAAAACATATGATCAACCCTATATTGTGAGTAAAGTATCCTAAAATAAAAATTTGAATAAAATGAGTCTGGCTCCCTCAACCCTGAATCAATTAGAGGCATTCAAGTGTCTTAGTGTTAAGTGTGATGATGGATAAATTATAAAGATGGATGCATGGATTGGGTCTTCAGTCATTTGTTACAGTTCTGGTCTGTTGAGGTACAGAGAGTACAGCAATAAAGCCAACTTTATATTTTTTTGGTTCAGTTGCATTAAAAGCCAAAGAACAAACTCTTGTACGTTCATGAAATATGGATGAAAACCAAAAACTGAGACACAAATGAGCTTCTGCTGAAGGGAGGCTGGACTTAGTCCTCAGGTGTTTTCACAGCTGATACTCTGGTAAACTTGGTTCAGTTGCTGGTGTGGTTCACTTTCACACTACACTGCGTCAAACAAACCAAACCCTTTCATCAACCTCGCCTGTGGGAGCACTGCCCTAAGAACTACTGAAGGAAACATCACAAAAACCCCTGTGAAGATGTGCTCAGTGAAGAACACACTGAGCACATCTTCCTTCATCAGAAAGTGTACACAAAAATGGAGTTGAATCAGGTTTTATTAGTTGTAGGATTTATTTTATGTTTTAAAAAAAAAAAAAAAACAAAAAAAAAAACAAAAAAAAAAAACACTAGCCATTTCCCCCGCTAGCGATAGACTCACATGTTTGTTTTGGTTGTATTTACCCAGAATGCCCTGTGCTGTTGCCCACTTCCTCCTTTTGGAGCAGTCTCCAGTTCTCTTGGCATTCACATGCATTCGAACCGCACCAGTTCACTTCAACTAAACCGAGTCCGGGGTTTATAGGAGGACCAGAGTTCGCTTTTTGGTTTGCATCAGAGTTCAATTATGTATTCACACCTCATCAAAAGAACTGGACTTTCTAGTCAAACAAACAAAAGTTCAATTGAACTGGGCTAAACAGGGCTGGAGTGTGTCTCTGGGTAGGAGAACATCATTGTTCCTTCCTTGGAAATGCCACAAAATATTTTTTCTAAAACCAACTTTTTCTGCTCTGCCCAGTGACTGAGGATATTCTCAGTGAAGTCTTGTTTGCTGCAAAAATATTGAAGTAGCTTAAGAGATTAAACATTCAGTGTTTTGTTTTTTTTACTCAATTTACTTCTTTATGTTTTTTGGTTGCTTCAATTTCTTCCTCTTGTTTTGTCTTTGATGTCTGTTTTGAATGTTTGTCTTTTAGATTCACCAACTTCTCCCAGGTTTCACACTTGTGTCCATTAAATCACCTCAGCCTCAGGACCAGGCTGCACACACCCAGCTGTTACGAGAACATCAAACAAGATGTCAACAATCAGAAAGCTGCAGATCCTCAGCAGCAGCCTGGATAAGCAGCGGCTGGATTTAGAGGCGTACATGTCATTCTCTGGGTTTTATTTCGCAGCTTATACTCGTCTCACCGGGTTTAAGGTGTAAACATGATGGATTAGATAATTGTGGCACTGTGCTTCTCTTGCTTCAGATTTGATGCAGGTTCAGGAGTTTTTAATTTTAAAAGATGAATAGATTCTCCTTCCTTTTTTGTTTGTTTGAATGATGCTGATCCCATGTTTCGAGAAAATTACCTAGTTTTCTCAGTAGCATTACAAAGTTATGCTTTTATTCCAGTAAACAGCATCAACATTTCTATCTTTCTGCAATATATATATTTTTTTGCCTATGATGTCATCATCCCTACCTAATGGTTCATTTGATTAGGATGATTTGTTAAATATTGATTTAGGTATTTACCATAGAATCCCTTATATCTAAGTATTAATCAAGTTATATTTACCAATTTAGGACATTTAGAAGGCAGCTTCTGAGACACATTTTGTCCAG